TACTACTACTACTACTAGTACTACTACTGCTGCTATTACTACTACTACTGCTACTACTACTGCTACTACTACTACTACTACTAGTACTACTACTACTACTACTACTAGTACTACTACTAGTACTACTACTACTGCAACTACCACTAGTAGTACTACTAGTACTACTACTTCTGCTACTACCACTAGTAGTACTACTAGTACTACTACTTCTGCTACTACCACTAGTAGTACTACTAGTACTACTACTACTGCTACTACTACTAGTAGTACTACAGTCAGTGAAGGAAATCCTTGTTATTTACACACATATGGGAATTCTGGGAAAGATTTATTTACTATCGTCAACTCCAGGTTTGTTGAGGCTCAACCTCAGGTCAATAATCACGATTAATGATTCGTGATTAATTGTTAATAAACTGTGTGACTAATCAGATCAAAATCATTAGATTTCCCGTTATCGTGTTAACCGTGCTAGCATGGACGTAGGAGGCGTTTTTCAAACCCACTGCTGCGTGTTTGTTTGTTTGTTTGTTTGTTTGTGTGTGTGAATAAATGATGACGCTCCAGGTCCAGACACTACACTGTACTGTATGTTCAGGCGCCGCCGTCGATAAATACTACAAATATTGCTCCCATTAAAAGTTTGTTACATCGGTACTTTGTGACGCGAAACGTATTTTTGTTTTCTCAAGCACAAAATGCTGCACGCGGCTCCTCCGCAGCTGGCAGTCCTTCAGGGGTTTGTGTTCCAATAAGCTGCCATCCTCAACTAACCCAGAGGAACAAGCATATTAATTACAGGTCAATGTTCTGCAGTGCAGCGCCAAAGCACTTTCTGCCTCTCTTCTGTGCATAAGAGCGCGGCGTTCTATCCTCTTTTTTTTTACCTCTTTTCCACCTCATCTGTCCGTCCACATGGCAGCGCTTTTTAAACTTTAATGGCCAAGTGTTCTCGTTTGATCATACTTGTAAATGGTTTTCATTTTAATGTTTAAAACATTGTCTCTCTTATACCATTAGACTGAGGGATGGATGGATGGGAGGAAACAGTCGGGCATAAATCTTGGATGAGGGATCTGCACTAATGTAAGACGATGCCAGGCTACATGTAAAGCAGTGTGTTTTCTGGGCACGCCGATTACAATAATGACAGCGCGGCGCAAAGTGCACGGGGAAAAGGCTCCCTTCATGTGTGGAAATAGACGGACAGATGCCTCGAGTGAGGAAACCTGGAGGTAGAAGCCTAATGGACACAAACATGCATAAATAACAGCAGCCAGCGCTGTGGGCAGAGCTTTTAATAAACCCGGCGTGTGTCTGTCTGCCCGGCCCTTCAACGTGTCCATCAGTGCTGGACCATAATGGGCCCAGCAGGCCCGTCTCACTCGCACTTCACCACATCTTCCTCCCGGTGCATGAGGAACAACCTGGAGGCTTGGTGCGATCTGATGAACTGACGGACAAACACACTGTCAGGGAGTCAGGGAGTCAG